TAGTAAATACACATAAGAGCCAGTTAAGCATCTTACAAATAGAGCAAAGGTGCTGGAGGCTTTTCATTGATAAAATCCATCAAAATTAAGATCAAAACCTTTTTTATAAAAGAAACAACATCTAGGCAAGATAACATTCTACTTTCAATCCTTGTTTGTAGCTTCTTTGTAGTTGTGACGCTCAAGAGATGGAGAACCAACAACCAACGAATTCGACTCAAGAGCCTTCATTTGCTGACCTGTCAAACGAGATATTATAATTGTCACAACCTTCAAGACGACACAATCGAGATGAAGATCTTCAAGAACGACATGTTCTTCTTCGAATAGATGGCGAGATACAACATCTTTGATATCACGACTTGGGAAGGGACTCCCGATTTTTGGTAATTTTACTAGAAGTAGGAACAACTCCTGATGGTGTTCCAAATATTCTATTCAAAAGAAGTTATGAAGGCCTCAACAATGATCAAATAATTGAATGGTCTTCCCGCTCTAGAATAGGACACTACCAATGGTTGAGAGGCCCTATCAATCATCTTCAAAGAAAACAAAGATCAGAGTATGTGGCAAATATAATTTGTTGCATCATAGATTTCTTCAACATATGATGACCGCTCCTCATGGAACTCATCCCTAGAAGGAAGGGTAATATCATGGACATTCTCATGTAAGCTAATAATTACATATATGAATAGATAGAAGTAAGTAAAAGTAGATAAAAGAAAGATAATTCTATAGTATTTGGTATAAAAGCTTTCTAGAAGCTTTATAGACGCTGTTTTGACTTTATAGGTGTCTTTAATTGACTTTTTCGATTAGAAACGTGGTCAAAAAGTTGGCCATGTACCACACATATTGTTAGCTTGAAGACCAAACTAGCAATGTGGCCCAAACGTAGAAAAACTTATCTTATAAGTCAAGGCATGTATCCTACAAAGTCAACACATATTGGAGGTCCTATAGAATGTCGCCATGTAGCCCCTAGTTAGATAGTATATATAGAGACAAGAGTGAAGCCTTCTTCATTCTTGTCAACTTCTTTCTCGTTTTCAGTCTACTTTTAAGAATCTTCATATTTTTTAGTCTTTGGCAATAGCCATTGCAGTTTCTCTTTCAATATACATACTTGTTTATTTATATTTTGTTACATTTCTTTGAGTGAAGGCTCACTTGTCTAAATTGCTTTTTCATCGAGTTCTTGTCCTTGACAGTTGGCATTGATATTAAATTATAATAGCATTGAAGTGCACTTATATGAATTTTAAATCAAAATTTAAAAAGTTGATTGTCACACCTCACAACAAAGTCAATTGCTTGATTCAATGCTTGAGGATCAAATATATTCAGCATCAATTTTTTTACCTCATATTATAATCCATATAGAAATTACCTAATAAGTATAGCATCATGTTACTTGATATCAATTGCAAGTTGTTGAAATTGTAAAATATATAATATTATCAATCGATTGCATTGTTACAAAATACGGATCTTATTATTTGTAACATGAATTACATCATTTTTTCTATATATCAATCAAAAATTTGTCAAAAAAGCCTCCAGATTATCCAATATAAAATCTCATTATTCAAAAAAAGATGAAAACTTTGATAATGTTGAACATGAAAGGAGTTAGATAGCTTGTGATCTTAGAGTTGGATAGCTTTGAGGTTGAAATTGAATAATAAATTGTACTTTATTAATAAATCTTCAAAACTTAAATCTTATGCTATCAAACTTCTCGAGCAATTTAATCCTTGGTTCTTTAACACTAGAAGGATCTTCTACCACAAGAGATAGGACATGATTTGGTATTGATATTAAAGCTGTTCAAATCATCTCTATGTCTTCGCTCTTTGTCATTCTTGTTGCTTCTTGTGGTAGTAAATTGAGTTGATGCATTGCAAGTATTAACTCCTCCAATTATTCTTATGTTTGTACTATTGTATTCTTTATTTCAAGAAGCTCTTCTATAATAATACTTAAAGAGGAGAAGATGTCTAATATTGCTTAAGACAAATAAAAGAGAAGACTTAAAAATTATAAAAAAATAATAAAAATATAATTAAAAGAAGATAATCTGTAACTCTTAATATGCTTAAGTCTTATTAAGAGAAAGGAATAATCTACGCTTAATCAAGAAAAGACAAAGCTCTAATATTTTAAGTATACTCTTGTCAATCTATTAAAAAAAAAGAACTCAATAAAAGAAAATGAATAAATGAGGCTCTTTCAAAGATATATAAAAAAATATAAATAAAAAACTATGTATATTAAAAAAAAAACTGAAATGACTATTGTTAAAAAAGAAAGAAACTAGACACTCTTAAAATTAGACTAGAAACAAGAAAGGAGTTGAGAAGAATGAAGAAGGCTTTATCTTTGCTTCTATATATAATATCTACCTAGGATCTATGTGGCAATGTTCAATAAGACCTCCAAAAAAGTGTTGGCTTTTCATGAAAAGTATCTTAACTTGTAAGACAAGTTTTCTATATGGATGCCATATAATTACCTTGTTTCATAAGCTATCAACACATATGGTATGTAGTTAGCTTGTTGACTAAGTTTCTAACCTATTAATCAACTATAAACACATGTAATATCAAAATAACATCTAAGAAGCTTCTAAGAAGCTCTTTTACAAGATATTATGAAATTAATCTATGTTTAGTTACTTCTACCTATTCATATTACTTAAGTAAGAAATACAATAGATATATATTTATGACAGTGTTATAATCAAAGATGTCTTACATATTGGAAGAATTCAAAGCTTCATTGAAGAATTAAGCACAATGATATTCAACATTATTTTATAAGAAGCATGATTAAAATAGGAGCAATTGATTTAAATTATTATATAATAAAAGACATGATTATTGATTTGCTGACAAAGGCATTAGTCAAGAATATGCATTGTATGTTGATAAAGATAATAGGATTGAGAGCCTTTGACCAATAGCAAAGTGAGAGTATTAAAATAAATAAGTAAAAATAAAAGTAGAATAAATTATCTTTTAGAATATATTTTCTTAGGTAAGTTACTAATAACAAAATGATAGATTTTTAATATATAAGAAAGCCATCCTATAAATTAGAAATGAGATTAAGGGCCAAGAGACAAGGTTAAGAGGATAAAGTTTTAAGTAAAAAAATATTTAAAGATTTTATAAGAATTTAAATTATATGCCACAAGTTATCTTTGAGGTAGATGAATTGTCAAAAGATATTGAAAGCATAAAAAATATGTCAAAGGCATAAGATACTATAAGATATATTTGATATATGTTTAGATGGATGTAAACATTAAAAGATAGAAGTTATTGACAAAGGAATCAACTACCACATATAAGTAATGAGTGTTGAAGAATCATCTTATTCCATCTTCTCTTTATATACAATCTTGCTAATGTTAAGTATTAAGACTTCATTTCTTTTGTCTATTTAATATTAGTAAGAATAAAGCTTTGAGAATGATTAAAAAATATAGACAAGATAATTTCTACCATTTGAAGTAAATAATAGAGTTTTTATTGGCTTCTTGAGATCTTTGGAATATTGTAAATAAAAGTGAAGATTTTCCAAGGATCAATGCTGATATGATGGATAAAAATGAATTCAAACAAAAAAAAAAAAAACTTTTAGTTTGATTGCATTCAATTTTAATGATGCCGACTTTTTACACATAATCTCTTGAAATGGACTAATAAAAGCATAGAGGACTCTTTGTAATATTTATAGAAGAAGAATTCTTGCAAACATCTTATAAACAAAGAAGAAATTTTTAATGATAAAAATAAAATAAGATAATGATTGCATGGCTCTGTCACGGACATACACACGTAAGCCAATAATTACATATATAAATAGATAAAAATAGGTAAAAGTAAGTTAATTCAATAGTATTTGATATGAAAGCTTCCTAGAAGCTTTATAGATGCTGCTTTGACTTTGTAGGTGTCTTTAATTGACTTTTTGGATTAGAAACGTGGTCAACAAGTTGGCCATGTACCACACATGTTGTTAGCTTGAAGACCAAGCTAACTATGTGGCCCACACGTAGAAAAACTTGCCTTGTAAGTCAAGGCATGTGTCCTACAAAGTCAACACATATTGGAGGTCCTATAGAACGTCGCCACGTAGCCTCTTGTTAAATAGTATATATAGAGACAAGAGTGAAGCCTTCTTCACTATTGTCAACTCCTTGCTTGCTTCCAATCTACTTTCAAGGGTCTCTAGTTTTCTTGGCTTTTGGCAATAGCCATTCCAATTTCTTTTTTAATATATATCAAGTTATTTCTATTTTGTCATCTTTCTTTGAGAGAAGTCTCACTTGTTATTTGTCTTTATCATGTTCTTGTCCTTGACAAGCTCATGTCAATAAGATAAAAATTCTTGTAAACCAACAAGCTCTTATTAGCAAGTCAATTGACAAAATCATTTTATATAATTTTTTAATTTTTTTAATAATTAATATTAATTAAAGTAAAATATAAAATATAAAATAAATTATGTTATTATGTGTATAAATATATTTATTATAATTTAAGTATTTAAAAAATCATAAAATATAATAATTAATAAAATTCTTTGAAAAAATACTAATTTTAAGTTATTTAATAATGACTAAAAATTACAAATATATCAATTTGTAATATAAATCTCTTATGTAAGCTCTAATGGCCAATTGTCAAGATGTGTTATTTGACAAAGTAAATCATTCATTTTATTATTTATAAATGACTCTCTCAGTCTGTCTTTGTTCTTAATGAACAAAATAAGAGGCCACAACTTTTAAATCGACTGTGGAACCAATAGCTGAGATTTTCCTGAATTGAGACGAACAATCTCGGGAGGTCAGACAATGGGCAACTCCTCATCGGCCTTCATCCACATGTGCTTTTAGCACGTGGAACACAATCTTCTCCCACACAGCCACTTGTTATCCTAAAGATAACGAGATGTCCAAAAATCTTCCTCCAGCTTCAATGCTTCTAGTCCCCACGAACGATACCCGGCACTCGTAGTTTGCCCAGGATCATGGATTTGAACATCACTCAATCTCATCGAGCTCATTTTGTTACGTAGCTGCAGCACTGCATTGAAGGTCGCTTGAGTTACCTCGCAGCTGGAGGACCTGACATAAGTGCTCAGAATAGTAGTCTGGGGGAATTGCTGCAACAGTAGCTCACGAAGCAGGTACTGTACACTTTGAATTGATTTCATTGAGTCGCGTCGGCTGTGTGCCTCTCATTACTGCAGCTCTCGATTCTGGCAGAGTCGGCGATTTCGATTCAGGGTTCGGGGAGATCTCGATGTGGGGCTTGTTGCTTGGTGATGTCCCGGGTTGGTGATTTCAATTGATTTGATGCATCAGGAGATTTTGTAGATTCCGCTCGCTTCTTTCTCTCGTCGAGGATTGGGACGCGGATTGTCTCGTGGGGCATTGCGTGCACAATGATGATATTTGCGGCGCAATGTCACTTTCCTCACGCTGCATTTCCACCACAAGAATGCAGGGGTAACTCATGCCTTAGACTGACGTGGCTTGAGCAGGACCTTTCATTTCGGTTCCTTGGGAGCCGAACTGCAAATGCCTTTGATGTGTTCCAGGGTCAAATGGACATCAACTTTATTCTGCTTTGGTTTGCAATGGTTTTGTGTTGAAGTTAGGAAGTGTTCAGGAGAGGAGAATTATAGCTCCTTATCCATCTTACACAGCACAAGAGTTGGAAGAAAGAAGAGAAACCTAAGAATTGTATTGATCTTGCTGAAAGGGGTCAGGAGTCACAGCAATCTTCGAGAGAAATATCTAATTAGCAAAAACCTATTTTTTGTGGTGAATTTCCAGGTCTCGCAGCGTATTGCTTAATGAGACAGGCATCGTACAAGGTGAGCACAAATTTCGAATGTAAACATTCTAGATCTTCTGAATGTAGGGAATGATGATCTCGGAGCTACAGAGGTGATTGCAGGAGCCTTGCACAAAGTTAATTATATTAGTGAGTGCTATTCTTAAGCATCCTCAGCTTGATGTGATTGCAGTGAGAATCCTGCCGAATATCACGTTATTCTTTTAGATTACTGGCAATTGTTGAGCAAAGGGCAGGGGTTCGCATTTCTCTAATACAGAGCCATCCTGTCAGGTTAGGGTTTCGCGTTCGGTGAACAGAACTCATTTTCAGCGTTCGGAGGCCTGAGTTGACAGTAGCTCGAGTATATTCGTGAAATGGACGCTGTCTGACCGAGGACTCTAAATGATGACTTAATGCCATTTCTTCTTTGCTAAAGAACGTCAACATGTCGCCTGGTGCTGCGTTACTGCTGCCATCGTCGAGTTCAATACAATGTCATGGAGCTCTTCACCTACTGAGTACCAACACTGACTGCAAACCAATACTGCAACTTGCGGGAGCTAGATTTCGACATCAAAGGGGTATAACCTACCTTATCGTATCCTGATTCTGTTTCTCCTTTCGCAACTTCGTATTAATGTATTGTATTGGTTTGAATTTTTCTACGTATGTTGACAGAGTTCGGTTGGATTATGTTTACAGGGAAGGCATGGTCTACAGACGTGAAGTCGCGAACTTCGCGGTTTTCTTCAGTTGTGAAGTCTGCAGTGGCAACTATGGATAGGGACAACGCTCTGCCGGACAAGAACGTGCCATTGTACTCGCACAGCCTCCCGGGTATTGAAGCATGGCTTCAGAATCTTGGATTTGTGCAAAATAAAGATGACCGAGCAGTGTGGGATATTGAGCGGCCCGATTGGCATGCCCAATTATCGCTTGAATACACCGAGTTGTACATCAGGTAGTCTGTGCTTCTCAGTGCAATTTATCAATTATAGCCGTGCTTATGTCACATTGTCAGCTTTAATACTTGAGTTTGGAATGTTCTTTGAAGTACTTTCGATTATTCCTACTATCATAGTTTCGACATAATTTCAGCTTGTTGTCATGATCTTGTAGATACCTGAAATCTGGGCCTGGTAATTTGGACCGAGATATCGAGCGAAAGTTCAGTTATGCCTTGAGCAGAGAAGATGTGGAGAACGCAGTTCTTGGGGGCCCGTGAAATGTAGTTTTGTTTTGTTTTGTTTTGTTTTTTCTTTTTTCCTGGCTCGCAGATACAGCTGCCACTGTAGGTTGTGTAGTCTAGATCGATTTCCTGGTTCTGGGTTTCCCCAGTTGTGAGTTTTTTGGGCTGTTTGAAAGAAATTTCTCACCTCTAGCTTTTGATTTCCAACATTGACCGCAGTTTCGTACGTGGATGGACTTGAGGATCGAGACACTCGGCTGAGCAGCTTGTGGCATCTTAGGACGGTATAAAGTCTCCTGTTGTAAACTGACAGTTGCTGAACGACATTGTACATCCTAGCTTGTCTAACTACCTTATCTTTCCCTCTGGAATCGCGCAGAATTGTTGAAATTTGTTTAATGAAAGTCCTAAATTTCGTTTTACTCGAAAACCACACTACAATGTGACGTGAACATGAGGACACTTGCAACAACGTCCACCCGTGCTGAAATCAAGGCAAAGTGCTGCATGTGGGCGAACCTAACCCTCAGATTCCCTGGCTCCTGGACCTGACGTCTTTACCCACGCGTTCTGCCGTCCGTCACGTCCCTGATGCCTTGAATCTTGTCCTTGCACCTGCTTGGCCGCTATGTCGAATTGCTCCTCTCCTCTCAGTTGCATCCAGCCTAGCTCCCCGGCCTTGCTCCCTCACTTTATTATGACTTCTCCACACCTCCCCCCATGTCACCAGGATCTCTTGATTCACTGCCTTGCATAATTTAACTTTTGTGAGAAAGTCGGTGATTCACAACTGACTTCGTCTAAAAATCTAACTTCTGTCCTGTGATTCTCTTCAAGTAATGCAAATCGACGTCTTTGACCTTTCAAAATCAAACTTAGACACCACTTGAACAACAATAGGCTGCATCTTCTCACCATATTCACGGTGCATCGATTGGCGTGCCTTGTTTCTCGGCGCTTGAAGTAGCCTTCACAAATCTTGAAGGCCATAACAAAGCGGTTCAGCATCCTCCACAAATCTTGAAAGCCGATCATAGCGCGAGAAATGGCCTCCCATCCACCACATTCGATCTCTTGTGCTTCTTCGAATTCCCAACATCTGATGCCAGGACAAATATCAACTTTGTTTCCGTCATAATTACTGATCAAACTTGCATGATACTGAGCTGAAACTTTAGCTAGAACATATTTTTTTTTCTTTTCACTTTATATCTATTCTTAAAATATATAAAAATGTCCTTAAGTCAGCTCTTTAAATTCTGAAGCTATGGACATACTTGTATCTTTATTTGATGCATCAGTGTTAAAAAAAACTATATATATATATATATATATATATATATCTATATATATCTATATATATATATATATTTATATACTTTATATTTTTATATTATTATTAATTATTTTTACTTTTATTGAAAGAGTAAGATAAAAATAAAAATTATGAGTTCCTTTAAGCATGCACACATATTAAAATATTATTATAACAAATTAGTTGATAGATTTTAACTTGGTACAACTGAAGACTAGTTTTATGGACACAAGCAATGCATCTAAGTACTTTTGAATATGGAATGGAAGGTTTTCACTGCAACATATTCTTTATTAATTTTTGAAGGATTTGCACTTCAATGATAGCAATTGCAAGCATACAAAGCATTTAATACAATTTCTATCCACAATTCTATTCCAATCACTTTCAAACATTTAAAGCAGAACTGTCAAAGAATAAATTGAAAAGTATCATTGTAATTTGCAATTGAAATTTGTTTGCTACTTATTTGAAATTTGATACACTTCAATTGCTACAACTATGTTTTGTGTAATAATTGAAATACTTTTACCAATTGAATTCTTCACCACTCATCCTAATATGTTCAAATGCAAATTAATATCTCAAAATATCAATTAAATTTCCAGAGAAGGTCTATAAACAATCTTAGAATGTAAAAACGTATTTATAATTTAATCCCTGTTTATTTGTTTTTGTTTTTCTCAATGAATAAGATATTAGGGTTGTTTTATATAGCTTTAAGCATTATATTGCTCATGAATACACTTTCGTCAGTAAAGTTTTCACATAAATTGAATAAAATTTTGATAGTTATCATGAGTTTTATGGATTTTTTCAAAAAACTATTTCACTCTTAAAAATAACGTTGTCTGAGCTTTTGAATTATTCTGCAAGAGCCTTGATTGAAACAACAGTTTCTTATCAGGCACTGCAATTAAAAATTTGTTTCAGTTTAGTTCTTTTAAATACCTTGCAAATTCTACTTTGAAAGTATAACCATAGAATATTCTTGATATCTACTACTTAAAATTTTGGAGTATATTTTTGATTTAATATTATGTGACAATAAATGAATAAATTTCAAATTAAATATATAAAAAACTGATTATTATATAAAATTTTATTAAAACTGAATATTATAAATAAATAACCAAAAAGAAATGGATGAAATCTAATAATTTAAGAATGTTACAATGATAAAAACAAATCAATAAAAAAAAATATACATTAAAATATTAACAAGATTGTTGTACTAATACACATTGTGATCATAATATAATATTTTGTATGAATTATTTGAAATTACATCTTTGTAGAAGTATTTCTTTCAACAAAACTTATTTCAAAACTTAATAGAAATAAGTAAAAAAAGAAATGTTGATATGAGATTGAAACTAATAAAAGAATAGGCAAGTATAGAATATTCTACCTTTTACTTCATATACTCCTCTTTGTATATTACTTATTCAATATATATATATATATATATATATATATATATTTAAAGATTTAGATATAATTTTAAAAGTTCATATATATAATAGTGACTGTATTTTTATATTGAGTAAAAATAAAAATAAAAAATTATAATTTTTTTTATATATAATATATATATACATATATATCATTTTAATTTAATTTTATTTTTTTAAAAGAGATTTCTTTGAAATTGTGTAAAACATAATCATTATTATGAATATTTATTTTAAAAAATATTCAAGTATAAAAATATAGTAGAAAAAATTTAAAAAATAATTAACTTTAAAAATACCTAAAATAGATCAAAATTATTATCTAAAATCATATAATTTTAATTCATAGTTATCCAAAAATAAATTTTTTTATCTATCTTTTGCTTACAAAAATTCTTATTGACAAAAAATTTAAATTATTAGAATAAAATATATAAAATTTTAATTTATATATATTTAAATTTTTAATTTATATATATCAAAAATTTTAATTTATATATATTTAAATTTTTAATTTATATATATCAAAAATTTTAATTTATATATATCAAAAATTTTAATTTATAACTAATATTGATTAAAAAATGAAAAATACAAATATTTGATTAAATAAAAGTTATATATTTGATGTTTGTAAGTTAAATTCTTAATGCAAAAAATCAAATAAGATTCAACTTTATAAATTATGTTTTACTATTACATTCTTTAATTAATTAATCTAAAATATGAATACCTATTAGATCAAATAACTTCATGAATGTACTTGATAAGAAAAATAAAGATACACTATTATAAAATAAATAGACATATTTACTAATATATTTACTTAGATAACTAGAACTAAGTAGAAAGAAGTAGGAAAAAGTTAAATTATTGATATCTTATTAAGAAGGTTCTTGGAGGCTTTGTAGATTTTACATGTGTTTGTAAGTACTTAGTAGATTTACAACTTGGCAACATATTGCATGTTTAGCCATTTGTATTACAAGTTGGTCATATGGTGCACATGTCAAAATCTCCCCTTATAAATTAGATATGTATCTTATAAGTTGGACTTGTGCCATATGGCCTATAAAACATAGCCATATAGTTTCTAGTAGATAGTATATATAGAGGCCAAGATGAGGCCTTTCTCACTCATCTCAATGGCTTTCTTATAGTCTAGCTTGGTTCAAGACTTCATAATCCTTTTGTGTTTGAGAATGATTATTCTATTATTAATTCTATATTTATCTTTTAGTTATCTTCTTTCTCTCTTTTGGTAATATAAGAGTATTAGTTATTTTTAGAATCTTATTGTGGTTCATGTTTTTGACAACCAAAGCATTAACCACATGATTGTTCAATCAAACTATAAAAGAAAAAATAACTTCTACTTTTACATATGTATCACATTTTATTAAAATAAATGAAAAAAAAAAACAATACTCCAAGAATACAAAGATAAAAACATAGAAAAAATAACTAGTTTTTATTTAATCTTTTTAATAAAATTTTACCTTTTACTTATTAAAAAAATAGATTATAAAGAATGTGTGTCAATTATAAAGGTCTAAATAGGATGATTATAAAAAAATAAAAATGAATCTATTTCTATTAAACTAAAAACTAATAACTAAAACTCTAGTAAAAATATATATTTTTTAATTTTCTTAATAAAAATGAATCATATATCAAGTTTATTTCTAAATTTCTTTGATATTGATATTTAAAATTTTGTTGATAAATTGTTTTAAAATAAAATTCAGCTTATGAAGTTTTGTCACATATATTCATTAATAACAATATTTTATTTCATACAAGATTTTAACATTTTTTTAATACAAAATAATAGTATTATCTAATCTAAGTATATATATATATATATATTTTTTGGGCATCAATTATAAATATTTAAATGTTATTTTTGTATGTTATTTCAATTCTACTTAGTGTGTAAAAGTCAAATACAAAGGTAGTGTAAGAAACATAAGGCTTGTAGATCAAACTGTCTAAATTTTAAGATGCTCTTATTGTAAAACCTGAGAAGTGGAGCACTTGTAGAAGAAGATTATATGTCCATAAGGTGCATTAAGGGATACTAATATATTTTTTAACATTTTATAAATTTTTTGATGATTTTTGAGAAAGACATTTTTACTAAACTTACTACTATTTATTTAAATACTATAAATATCAGCAAAAAAAACTCTTTTAAATACCAAAGGATCTTCAATATTAACCATATGGTCTTTATAGGATTTATTTTATTCTAAAATAATATTTTATATTATTCATGAATTATATGAATCTTTTTGACATATTAATGTAAAAACATAATTTTGGTGATTATTTATTACTTCACCAAATCGACTTACTTTATTGTATGTAAAAGTAATGTTTAAAATTTATATTTGTAATTTATATTAAAAATTTAGAAAATAATATTTCGAATTTAATGATGGCATCAATATCAAGTAAACTACGAAGAGTGAAAAGATGTACCAATGAAACTCGAGGCACAGAAGGGAAGAGAAGAGAAGAGAAGAGTGGAAGAGTATCTATCTATATCAGTTAGTTCAGACAAGGGGGGGGGGGGGGGGTTGGGATGGGATTATGCCATGCGGCGGAATCTCTTCCCCCTCCCCTTCCAACCTGAGCTGAGCCTGATGAGGAGGAGGCTACACACATACTGCCCATATTCCGCTGCCCACTTTCCAATTCCCTTACTCATCACCTGACTGACACCGCGCCTACATCGCCATGATAATAAACACACGCACTTCGTCCATCGTTCCCGCTTCTCTCCTGCAATTACGCCGCACAGAACGCCGCCGAGTATGCCTTGCTTCCGGATCTTACCGACACCCTCTTCACTCTAGAATTCGGATTCCCTTAGTGTGCGGCGCGATTGTGGCAATGTTCATTTGTTATGGCATGCTGGCTACTGCATTGTCAACAACAGCATTCGATCACGTCTCCCACAGCGGGAGAAGAATACAGAGTGAGCTCTAGCTTGACATTCTGGTCTAATCAATGATGGGGCGGGATGGGTTGCCGTTCTTAATCTTTGCCCTGGTGGCATTATCCATGTTCTTGCTCTTCTTACAGCTGCCTCGAGAAGAACTCTCTCCCCCGAGAAACGACCCTACTGTGTTGCCCTGCAAGTTACACAACATAGCCAAGCATGCCAACGATACGACGTGCGAGCCTTTTCACCGATCGTTGTTTCCGCAGAATTTTGTGTTCGGAGCTGCAACGGCTGCTTATCAGGTAAAAATCGCCACCTCTGGACGATTTATTAAATCTTCATGTAAGCTTCTCATTTTCTCACCGACAATCCCTTTGATTCTATTTATTTATTTATTTATTTTTGACAGGTGGAGGGTGCTGCCAATGAGAGTGGACGGGAGCCTAGCATTTGGGACACATTCTCTCATACTCCAGGTAACTTAGCATCCTTTGTGTAAGCATTTGGAGTTCGTTTAGGGTTTATGTCTGACGGGCATGTGCGTACTCATGCAGGAAAGGTTCTGCACAACCATACTGGTGATGTTGCAAGTGATCAGTTTCACAAGTTCCTAGATGACATCGACTTGATGACGCAGCTGAATGTGGATGCTTATCGGTTCTCCATTTCTTGGTCTCGGATCATGAAGCTCGGTGAGTCCAATTATTATAAATCAGGAAGTTCTTGAGTTCACTTATATAAAGAACAAAATCATTTCTGCTGAGAGTTAAGGTCTTTGTTTCGTTTGCAGGAGGCTCTAATCCAGTGGTGAATGAAGAAGGAATGGCCTACTATAACAACCTCATTAACGGTCTCCTGAAGAAAGGTGGTCAACTTGATTCTCTTCCTTCATTTCACCAGTGTTATTTTCAATTCCTTTAGGTTTTGCAAATACTAAGATTAGTGTCTATGTATTTGTAGGAATCCAACCCTATGTGACACTATATCACTGGGACCTTCCGCAATCTTTGCAGGACTCCTACGGCGGTTGGCTTGACCGGAGGATAGTGTGAGTTTAAATGTCCGGCTTCTGGTTTCAACCTGATCCTCGCTTATTGTTTGGATTTTATATCTTCGTAATTCTCAAACGGTCGACTCGTTATGGCAGAAATGATTTTACGCAATACGCGGAGGCTTGTTTCACCGCTTTCGGCGACCGTGTCAAGCATTGGATCACTTTCAACGAGCCTAAGTCATTCACTGTACTCGGATTTGGTAATGGAATTCACGCTCCTGGGAGATGCTCCGACCGGACGCTTTGCCCTGCAGGTAACACATCCACAGAGCCTTACATTACGGCCCACCATGTGCTACTTGCGCATGCTGCAGCTGCGGACGTGTACAGAAAGAAATTTAAGGATACACAGGGCGGCATGATAGGGATCTCCGTGGACTCAGAGTGGTCCGAGCCCCTGACCAGTTCCGTGGAAGACAAGGAAGCTGCAGAGCGGCATACGCTCTTCCAGCTTGGATGGTAAGAATTCGCATCGATTGTCGATATTGAAACCTTTGGAATTAATTTTGGAGACTTTGCTGTGCCAGGAGTTGATGGGATTTGTTTTGCATGTGTAGTGCTAATTTAATTAGGTTTGTTCTGTCAGGTTTTTGGATCCAATATACCGAGGTGATTACCCAGCGATTATGCGCACACATGTGGGTGCTCGGTTGCCTGTATTCACTGCCGATGAGGTGGCATTGCTGAAGGGATCTTTAGATTTCATTGGTCTCAACCATTACTCTTCCAGGTGGATATCCAACGGTGTCAGAGTGGAGAATTCACTGAACAGCGACAACTGGAACGACCAGGCAATTGAGTCTTCAGGTATCTGTTAGGCTTTGGTTAATAGTCTGTAGCACTGTGTGGAAACTGGGACGCATTTATGCCTTGCTGACTTAAAAGCCAACTTGGTTCGATGTTTTGCAGTGACCCGAAATGGAACGCAAATTGGGGATGTGGTATACGTTTCAACCTTTTTAACTTCGAGCTGTCTTTGCTTGTGCTTTTGTGTATTGTTGTGTGTGTATTGACAAGGTCTCATGTTAGCATTATATGGCTGCAAGATTACACTGTTCATGTTATTTATCACCTGCAGGCAGCTTCGGAGTGGCTCTTCATCGTACCCTGGGGTATCGGAAAAACATTGGTTTGGTTGACACAACGATATGAAAACCCGCCGCTATTTGTCACAGAAAATGGTCAGCCACCATTCTAGAAAGTTCCGAAAAATTCGTTCTAAAGTTTTGTTGAGAAGGATTTATTTTTGTAATGAATATTCCTCGATTGTGTGGTTGTTTGGAAAGTGATGGTGTTTATTCATTTGCTTCTGGAGTCAGGTATGGACGACCTTGACAGTGATAAACCTATGGCAGTGCTTCTAAACGATACGACCCGTGTCGCGTTCTATGAAAATTATCTCTTCTCTGTTCTTGAAGCCATCCGGTAAGCGTCACCTTGCGTCATCGTGTAATGGTTCTTATGTTTTGCAAGAAGATTATGCACCTCGTTCCAATGTTTCTTATTTCAGAAACGAATAAAATTGCGGAATTTTGAATTTCAGGAATGGATCAGATGTGCGCGGATATTTTGCATGGTCGCTGATGGATAACTTCGAGTGGGCGATGGGGTACACTCGGCGGTTCGGAATGCTATATGTGGATTACAACAACAATCAACAGAGACATCTCAAGGAATCAGCCAAGTGGTTCTCTCGATTCCTTTCTCGTGGCGTATGACTCCAGCTCTTTGCGTGTTTTCTATACATCTGCATATCTGCAAGACTTCCTCAAGAAGCTTTGGAATTGCATCGCAATATAATCAATTATTTGGCTAAGAGTCAGTTCGGAGGTGTCAGTGATCCTGAGAATGGACCCCGGATTCTCCAGAACTCAAAGAAACAAAGCCAAACTGGAGAGACCCAACAACAAGGACTCCTGCGTATGGACGTGGCACAAATGTTGACTAGGTGGCGTGTTCTATCACACTGCTGATAGAGAACTCAATGATTCCCTCGTAGTTTTGTTAGAGGTAGTTCATTTATCAAACTGCGGTATATCATTACTACACAGGGATTCTTACGGTGGTCATCATCACCAGCCCCACAACCTCAAGTTGAAAGGACAGATCGCTGGATCGGTTTCTTCTCAAGATTTTGTAAGTCTCGATGATAATCGTGAGCTTCCTATGGTGTTCATGTGTTCGTGTTCAAATTAAAAGAATCAAAAAAACGAAACGGGTTTCTGGTTTGTGAAGGTTCTGCATTATGGCAGTGGTGTAGTAAGTTAAGTTCCTGCCAGTCGACATGGAGGAGCATATTACTACGCAGCAGTAGGGACCTAATCTCAACTTCCCCACACCCTCGAATCCCTTCTTTTCGACACTTCGCATTCATCTTCTAATGTCAACCAATTAAACTCAGATTAAATCAGTTGATCTGCATGTCTGACCTACTTGTTAACTATTTATACTAAAAATCATAGAACAATCTCACATTTCCATGCACAGGCAATTAGGAATTGGCTCTGAGTTCCCAACCTGCCGCCCTCCAACCTGCCCGCGTCCTTCGTTCCCCTACGTTCCTTCCTTCCGTTCCCAGAAATCTGATCAGCAGTTGAGATTGAATTTGAGCTTTATTTGCTATCTTAGGGTTGCTGCGATTAGCAATTTGATGGTAGAGCCACAATGATGCCCACTTTGATTTGTTGTTGGGAACAAGAGTTTGTAGGCAAATGTTTCAAACTTGTTGCTTATTTGCATCATTGATTCTTCTTGGAGTTGTTGATTTTTTTTTTTTTTTTTTTTTTTTTTTTAGTGATCTCTTGGTTTGTAAGCATAAAATTCTCCCTTCAATCCAAATTATAAGATGGCATTAATTAAGACTTGTTTGTAATTGATGGTGTGAAGTGACACAAGAAAATAACAAGAATAAAAGAAGAATAAATACAAAATAAGTCAAATGAATTTAACCAAACAATTATACATTCTAAAACTTAGTCACAATTTGTTCACTGAATTTTTATTTATTAAAAAATAAATATAAAAATTGATAGTTCTATTTTAGAAAGTTAATTTTATTATCTTTCCAATGATGTAAAAAACATGTAAATTCAACTTATTATAAGTAAATTATGAAGGTTTTAAGTTAACAAGTAAATAATTAAAAAATTATATGTAAATATTTTATAAATCAAGGATTTAAGCCTCACTAAAGCTTACATGTAGTATATATGAATGTCCTAGAGAGGCTTTAAGACTTTAGTCTTATTGTCCTACTTACATTCAAGGTGCTACAACTCATATGAAATTTGTGCAATTCCTTTTTTATAAAGACTACATTAGTTGCTAGTCCTTCTATTTTCTATTAGTAGAATTAGTTAAAATCATTTTTGACTTCACCATGATGTTTAAATACATCCAATTAGTATAAGAACCTTGTATGGCCTTTAAATCTTGCTTCATTTATTCTTAATAGCTTCTACTTTTGTTATAAGCCATAATATCTTATTATTTATAAATAAACCAATATTTTCTATTAAGTGATTAATAGAAGGAAAAATAAAGATGCATACACCTGTCACTTTGTATTATTTAGATTTTTTACATATCATGGTTTTGCCTCAAAAAAATAAATTCAATTCTAAACTAAAGTTGATTTCAAAAGTTTTGAGCTTTAGAAGTATAGAGCTTATACTTTTAGATGAATAGATTATTACATTTAGATAGAATAATCTAAATTTTATTCTTGAATTTGAAATTTTTTAATAGATTATTCAATCTATAAATATTATATGACAAAATACTTCATAAAATTATAGGAAGGAAAAAATCACTATGCATCTCATTAAGTAATAATTGTGTCTTTTAAGATTAAGTGCTTTTTCAATCTTATAATAAGATACTTCTCTTTGTCTTTTATCAACTTGAAAGAATTGAGAAAAAAAAGATCACTAAAACATCTTACATTTGTATAATCTAAACATGACTTAAAAACAAAGTTGTAAAGATAAAAAGAAGGAGAAAGATATATACTTGTCCATCTATAGAGCTAGTGCTTTGTTTTTTTTATAATTCAATGGAAAGAGATCTCCTTCAATATTATAAGATTGATGCTATTGAATTTAATTTAAATTCTATTTAAATTGATTATGTAATATATAGTCTTTTTTGTGATATAAGAGAGATTGGTTATACAATTTTACTAAGAGCCAAGTGAATCATAACTCTAGTCTCTTTGCAACCACTAGTCTTTAGATTGGCTATTATTAATACAATTTCTTAAGTCTTGAGATCCAGCTTTATATCTAAACTCTCAAAGGTAATAATTACTATGTATTCAATTTGTGTGACCTTGATATTTGGTGCAATTACAATTTTTTCAAAGGAAAAATTTGTTGAATCAAAGAATATATTAAAATTAGGCACTGCAAGTTCTTATGATACATCTCCAAAGAAAAATCTTGCAATATAGGTTCTTTCATGGCATGCACATATCAACTATTGATTAATAGTTCCAAATATTTTAATTACATTTTCTTACTTGTATCAATGCATGAATTATTGAGATCTATAATTTACATGCTTGCCAATGCCATGTAGAGAAAATATAGATCTATTTCCATATCTGATCTAGTTTTGAGATTAGAATTGATAAAATAGATCTAATCTATTGTAGTAAGGTTCTCATATTTAACTTTGTATCCTGTTGGAAAAAATAAATCTGCTATACATTGTAGGAATGGATCTTAATTGAAGATATATTTAATATTTTTTATTGCTTTGGATCTTAAAGACTATATATCTATATTATTGCTTGCTAAATATATTTTCTCTTTATTTTTAGTCCAGTCTTGATAGGTTTAGAGTCTTTAAATTTATTGATAGCTTTTAATATATCCTTGCTTAGTATTAACACACTTTGTACTCTTGAATTTGAAATAGTTGTGATAATTCTTGCCATTGACTTTCTTGTGGTGATAAATTGAATTGTTCCAATTTCCATCATATGTGAATAAAACATACTCTTACAATCAATATAGTCAATGCTATCTTTTTGTAGTCTAGGTGTAATGATTTCATTCATTTATAAATTTGCATGTCTAACAAAGACGGTCTCAATTTTATGTATCTAATTTGTAACAAGTTTTTTTTACAAAATTAAATTCTTAACTTTTATCTGACAATAAAACTACTACTCCATAGCTATTGATTATGTGAAAGTCTCAAAATTTTAAAGCTTGATTTTTGAGGCATCACAAAAAACCATAGAAATTGTTGTGATTTTCATTACAACCTCTATAAGTTTTATTTATTTATTTATTTTTGTTTTTTTGAGTAATTTAATATCTTAAATAAAAGATAATAGTTTTATAACTACTTGTCTTGTTCTTTATAGCTGATTAGGTTGAGTATTTAAACTTAGATAATTATGAAGGTATTCAAGACATTAGAGAATTCATAAAAGAGACAATGAGACTAGTCTCTTACATAATTTAAATACTCCTTATATATTATACTATTTTATATATGTTATATTGAATATATATAATATTGAATATATACTAAATATGTAATGATCTAAATACATAGAATTATGATTATACCAATATTTTTTCTAATCTTGGCCTTTGATTTGTTCAAAAATATAGGCCATTCATTTTATCTAAGAAACTACACAAAGAAGTGAATCTCTTTCATTTTTATTTTTATTTATTTATTTTTTTGCCACATTATAATAGATTATTTTATGGTAATGTATTTTTTAGTAGTTATTATCTATGTATCCTTAGATAAGTACTGATACTTATATAAGCTAAGATTTTTTTTGCAATTTTATCAGCAATGATTCACAATGTTTTTAATTTGGAGTTGAAATCCTAAGTCATTTTTTAAATCCTTATTCTTCTTTTCTTGTAACTTAAAAAATTATGTAGATTCTTAAGAATAGACATAATATTTAATATTAAGGTAGAAGTGGTGTATGATATTTATTTTTGTAATAATAATAATATTAGAGATAAAAATACTTTATCTTGTTGTAATGATAATAATGTTGGAGATGATGATACTTTGTCCCATTGCAATGACATTGCTATTCAAAATGAAGATGCTTTATTTTTGGAACATGAAGACTTGTATGAATTTCTTATTTAAAAGTTTTTTTTTTTTTTTTTTTTTTTTTTTTTTTTTTAATATCATTTATAATAATAATAATAAAAAAATCATATCTACATAGCATTTCTTCAATGCATAAGATGTATTTTTTATTTTTTATCCTTCTTAAAGTTGCTCCTAAGGTCTTTGCTCTATTCATTGTTGATAGTATAGTTATAGAAGCTATTCTTCTATGAGTCTTCTATTAAAAAAATAGAACTTTGAAGTTACAAAATATAACATTAGTAAGGTTGTACACAAAGAGAGTATGGAGTAAGATATCTCTCACTTCTAACATCCAATACTTATAGGTTGTGGTTGCTGCCTTATAAGACAATTTCCACTCTTTGACTTTTACACACATAATCCTTGGTCCTAAGATCCTTTGGCATCTTACATACCTTGAACGTATCCTATGCCAAATATTAATTATTCTTATCTAGTCTTTGGATATTTCTTAGTTCATACTTTATTCTCTTGACTTTGACTCTTGGTCCTTGACCTTGTCTTATATCCATAGGATGTCCTTTCCATATATTAAGAGTCAACCTTTTGACCATTAGCAACTTACCTAAGATAATAATTTTTAATACGTAATTTTTTCTACTATTACTTATTTGCTACAATACTCCCACTTTGCTATTGGTCAAGGATCTTTCAATCCTAAAGTCTTTATTAACATGTAATGTCTATCCTTTATTAATGACTTTGCTAATAAATTAACAAGCATGTCTTCAGTTTCACAATACTTCATATCAATTATTCCTATTTCAATCTTTTCTCTTATAAAGTGATGTTGAATGTCAATGTGTTTGATCCTTGAATGTTGCTTTGGATTCTTTGCAAAAATAAGACATCCTTGATTGTCACACTTTAGTGGAGTTGCTTCTATTTGTACTACTCAAATGTCCTCTAAAAGTTGTTCTAGCCATATTGTCTTATTACACTATGGCTTGCTACCATGTACTCCGCCTCCATTGATGACCTTGCAATTGTTGGTTGTCTTTTGCAATTCCATGAAATTGCTCCTACTCTAGCAAAGAATACATATCCCATTGTTGACCTTCTATTATTTGCATCTCCATCCCAATCCACA